CTTAAACACAAATATATGTTTCTTGTAAGCCACGACACGTTTCACGATTATTTTACAATATTATTACTATTAATAGTCATAACGTATTTGCAGGTGTTTCAAAGTGCAGGCCTTGTTTTCTAGATAACCGGAAAATGAAATTAAACTATGTTACACCATCACCTATAAAAATTCGAACGATTTATTATGCTTTGAGATGTTACAAAATGTCGTTCGGTTTTCAGTTATAAACTTACCTATATATCAGGAAGATAACGATCTGGAAAAGTATTTATTTTTTATTTCGAATTAATTTTATAATTTGGCGTGTCTGAGATTTAAAGGCAATCGGAAAGTTTGTCTAATAATACAGATGAGGCTGTTTTGAAGAGGTTTTGTGACTTTATGGCAAGCTATTTAAAGTTAGGGTTATTAAACAAAACTAATAAAAATTCCGTCGGAATACAAAAGAATTAATTACCACGTTTAGCCGTTGAGAGGTGTCTAGGTATTTAAAGCATAATTGTTAAAAAACTGAAATTGTGCCTTTTTGTTTGTTCTCTTACATTTTATAGGAGACTCCGACGATGAAGCAGACAACGAACCAAGAAGTAAGCATCTATAATAACTAGTTTAGAGTGCTTCTGGCGTTTAGATAGTCGATATCCAGATAGTTAACATCGTGAATTATGTTGATCAGATGCCTGATAAAATGAAGGCTGTTAACTAAGTTTCGATGTCAATTGAGTTTATACGAACTAGATTGAAGCAGTGGGACAGAAACCGAGAGTTTCTTATAAAGAAATTAAGGTACGATGAAACTGTTCAAGATTTATAATTATTTAGAACGAGGTAATTTATTTTTCTCAACGTCCAAAGGAAATATAAATCCGACAATTTGCATAAAATATCACTAAGAAATGTCAGCTTTAGCTTAATTTAATTTTGTCGTAATTTCACTCATTTATAACATCCATGTGAATAAACAAAAATTCGTAAATATCCCATAAATTCTCTTCTCTAGTTGATTGTGTAGAACTGCTTTCTATGCCACATTTTTACGTAATCTTTTGGGTTTTAATCCCGAGACAAAACTATCGCATTAGTAGCATGAATGTCGAGACACCCTCCGCTATATTAATGCATCCAATGATAAAAACTTTTCAAGAACATCATGTCTAATATCTCGTTAGGACGTATTGTATAGTCTGCGGCGCAGTCTGTCTATAGTGATTTATGCTGTTCTGTCGGTTATTAATGAACATCTAGCTTTTCATAATATTAAATATACGTATAATTAAAGGTTAGTACACGGTCGAAAGGGGCTGTGGGCTGTAGTTCCGTTGCTTTGTGCTCATCGGAAGTTCAAAATGCATACAGACGATTGACGGTTGTGTTTCCATTCATTTCGATCATTGTTTACCACATCAGATGAATGAACGAATTCCGATGTGCAAATGTGTCATAACTTTATTTTTGGTCTTTCAACAACGGGAGCGCACCCATCTTACCTCAGCTGCATTCACCTCTTACGCAATAAGGGTCAGACAAGTATATGTTACTGGGTGAAATTCTTGGGATTGTTGGTGCTTTATAAACAATTGTTACATGGAAAAGGCGTGCTGCTGCAGGCTCAATTCGCATTTTTGCTAATGAAGTCGTTGATTAAAAGGAGACAACCAATAATTATGATTTATAATTAATATTCGATATTTTAGTGGGAAGGTCATTTTACATAACATTCACATTCAGATGGTCCAGCTCATCTTATATTCTTCATAAAACTAAAAAAAAACAAGTGTTTCAAATCCCCAGAATCGTATATCCTTAAAAATTTATTAAATGAGTCATTTTAAGTATGTTCTAGTTGATTATTCTCCTGGTTAAGAATAAAAAGTAAAGTTTTTATTAATAATACAGTCATGTTTTAATTCTACGGGATTTCACCGCACGTGGGTTTTTTAAGGAGGAAACTATTTCAAAAATTATGTTTATTAATTAATGGTACTTTAGACAAGATGTTGTGTAATAAATCAATTAAATGAAAATTTTGAATATTCAACGTTAATACCGAGAACAGGATATAAACCTTTGTTTTGTTAATAAAGGTAATTCGATACGCTTACTATTCATAGTTGGAAGTACTTACATTCTAACAAGCATGTTAATTAATAAATAGTAATTATTTTCACGTAACTCATGGAATTTCGATTTATTATTTTTGTTCTTGAGCAGCTTTTGCGTAAAAATTGTAGTTGTCAGCTCAAATTTGCATCGGTTGTTTGCAGAATGTCAGACAAGGCGGATTAAGCTGTTCATATTATACACACGTGCTTAAGTGTATAGGCTGTTCAGTATTTAAAAATATAAAACCACCATCGTTTATTAATAATTTCACACTTAGGAGTGCTCTTTTATTAAAAAAATACTTATTAGTGAAGAGCATTCTACATTACAAAAAAATGCTTCGTCCTCTATATATATTTTTGGTAAAGTTATTATACAAATGTACCATATTAAATTGGTTCCCTTTTACTAATCTTAAAATAACGTCTATCAAGTTTGAAAAGTTATGTATGTGGAAGTTTTTCATTCAAAAATGTCAAACATTTTTTGAGATGATCTTATTAATGTTCTGAAGGGGATAAATAAATAAATTTTGTTTGTTCTGCAATTTTTAAATGAAAGTTAAGACTATACAGAAATCTAACTTAACTACTTAAAATATAAACTTTCATAATAATCCATACTTTTTAACAAGAGCAATTAAACTACAGCCATAAAAACCTGTTTATGGTCAATATATCGTGACTTTTGTGAAATAATAAACAAAGTTAATATTGACTAATAAGAATGTTTAAGATATGATGCTTTAATTAAGGCAATAAATCTTTATTCATATTCGGTTAAAACATTTTAAATCAAAAGTTTTATTTTATACTATGTACGCGCTATGGGGAAAATTTAACATAGCTTCGTTTTTTTTTTAAAACACTGTTATTATTATTAATGATAAAATTGCCATTGAAATCTATATTTCTGTCCAGAGATCAAAACACCAAACAATTTTTTTTATCGAATATACTAGTCTATGTTAAAACTGTATGTAAACAGGTCAAAAGTGACTTCAAATTCGAAAAAATTGTACAAACATAGTAAACGTAGAAAATGTATCGCTGCATTACTCGTACTTATTATAATGACATTATTCTTTGACTAAGTTTTAGAAAATACATCTTTATTAGGTTCATTTGACACAACATTAAATTTAAAATGAATTCAGTCTAACTCTTCCCTTTTCTTTGTTTAAAACTGGAAAAGATATTAATTAAATTACGTATGCGTGACGTAACCAATTTTTGAAGAGTGTTGTGAAAATTATTTCGCTAGAAAATTTCCAGGACAATGATCACCGATATTTTCGGAAGTCATTTTTCAATAAATATTGCAAAAATATCACATACGCTACAGGCGCAATATTTCTCATATTTTATGTTTAAATACTAAATATATATACCATTCGTGGTTTAGATAACAATTTGTGTTATTTTTTTAAATTTTATTGTCGTCTTAAAATCATGTAGCCTTATCTTATGATTACTATTTGTGAAGCATTACTTTTATTAATTCAAAGTATTTAAAACAAGTAAACTTTTAAACATATTTTAATATCACAAAAAATGTGTTACTTAACTTATTTTTTGTTGTGGTATTAAAATTTCTTTTCTAAATTTATTTAACATAATAAATTAAAACGCATTTTTGTAACTATTTTGTTCCAATAGATACAAGGTATAGTATATTTACTTTCGTATTTCATCTCTACTATGGACAATAGGACTAAGTAATTTCGATTAACAGAAACAACATTACAAGCAAATTTCATAGCTGATAGCAATTAGTCCACAACAGGTTTGCTAAAATTCTGTCCCTGTCCTTCAGGCTTGATGTCATTATTAGAAATCATAGACGGCCTTAGAGAAAGTATCCAGTAACATTTGCAGATTATTATTTTTATTATTATTTAAAAAAATATAGTAAGTATAATTGCAAATAATACCTAAGTATGTATTATTAACTACAAAAAAATTAAAATTATATCATACTTTGATACAGAAGCAAAGTCAATGTCAATGTTTAATTTGAAGCTCTATTAAAGTGCATCACATTACAGTATTTAAAATATGTAAAAATAAATAATGAAAACCAAAAGAGAAAATTGAGGGACATTACACAATTTTACAATTCAAACTGGTCAATGTATTCGTTGTTCGAGTAATTTGATACATAATTCCAAATTTCACATCTCTTTGCCAATTTGCCTTGAAGAAGATATATACATATGTGTATTTAAATGATGTCTTAGCCAAAAGATGCCAATCGATTACATTAGTCACGACCAATAAAATATTTTTCCGGTTTACGTAAAATAAATGTGCCTAGGGACTCACATAATTTAACACTGATTTATCGATGCATATATTTAGCTTTGTTGAAGCTCGATTATAATGTTAATATATTATAAACTTCTATTTTACTAGCACACACGTGTAATTTATAATCATTTTAACGCATCTAATATGTTGTAAGTAGCTTCTCATCGAGCAGTTGTTATTAAAATAGCGTTCTTCAATAAACCTGTTGCACAACGCAATTTTGTATTCGGAGCTAAATGTCTAGCGAGCACACAACAAATTTATAACATGTGTTTTTATTATTTTATTTGTTTGGTTAGTATAAGCAATTAATCGGTTTCCAATAATTAATTTTTGTTAAAACTTGGGTCTTTGTTTTGTTAATGACAATGCCGTGATTAATATTCGCAAGAGATTGTGCCAAATTGAAGAACTGTTGCGATCGCATAGTTGTGATCGAATGTGGTTGATAGTGTATAAGTTGTAATTATCACCTACATAGTAAGTAGGGTTGGTGGGGTACTGTGGTTCTGGATTGGTTGTTCTCTCAGGTACGTTAAGCAGGTGATACAGACACAAGGAGTACACGGCATCACTGACCAAGTATCGGTCCATCCGCATCTCTAAACGCACGCGAAATTTGCCCATAAGACCGCGAAGAGTTCGAAAATCGCCGACAGAATAATGCGGACTTTTTTAGGGCCGGATTCACTGTCAATAGTTGCGTTTATTACATAAAACAAAAAATCGTACTAACAATGTTTAATGCTGTCATAACTTCGTTAATAACAAGTTAAACAATGGTGGTTTATTGCATATCAAATAAAGCTGTATATTGCCGTCGTTGAAATTTGTTGATAGTGACATTTTGAAGTTGGGTGTGTGAGGAAGTGTTTCCGATTTTTTGAACTCTCGTTTAAATGTTTAACATGAAATGTCGGTTGTGTGATGGATAAAATTACCGTGTGATGTACAGTGATGATTTGTGAAGGTGGTAATCAAATGAATTCGCTGAGGACTCAGCATGCGCCCTAGTGGTTTTCCGCGGGAAATCTTCGCACTTTTTGTGCATGTGGTCTTATCTGCATACATCATCAGGTGAACTTTTGCATTAACCATAAAATACATCTATCAGCACTGATTCATGCCTGTTTTTTTTTATTGACTAAGATTACACAGATAATATTTAATTTACATAATCTATTGGTCTTGAAATTAAGTCTTTACTTAATATACGACATCCTAAAAAAAACTGCGGTTGAAGGATGCTTATCCTATAAACTAATATTTTTGTTTCTAATGAATGCAAATTAGTTGGAACTGTAGCACAATTTTAAAATATTTTCTTTGTCATACATTTTATATTCTTTGAATTTTTATCTTCTTTAACTTTTTCATCATTCTGCATTCAAGGAAAGTTAGTTTGCCGTTGGCCCAATTTTCGTAAATAAATATTAGCAAAACCTAAAGTAAATTTATGTAAAATAAAGATTACATGGAAATCTGAAAGACTCAAATATATTTACTTTACAGCGCCAATTAATAAGATGTGAACCCAATAAAAATGTATCTGTTTTGCAAGAAAAATTTGTTAATTTAGCAACAGAGGAATATTGCTTTTTTAATGTTGCTGTTATTTAAATGTTTATCTAATTTTTTCAACTGCTTTAAATGGATGTTGATGGCGTACAATAAAACCTTTTTCGTTGTCATTTGTATTACTAAATTAATTTGTGTGCAGCTATTTATACACAACAGCGCTTGTTTAGAATATTATTAAAATCCACTTATTAAAATTTATATAGTTTAGGCGATTTATCACAATATGAATATTTTAAGCTATATGGTTATTTTTAGGTATATAATGTACAATTTGCAAACTATTAGATAATTTTATTTCGTTGCCAGTAAAATATATGTTGTATCAAAATAACTCACACAAGGAAGAAAACATAATTTTGATAAATAAAAAAAACATTTCAACCAAATGTCTGCATCTTCAAAAAAAGTGGTTGCGTACTTGTCAACTATTTCAATTGTCACTTTCCAAAAGTTGCCCAAAAAATTCTATCAATGATCAAATGGGCATTGATTTTTAATAAATTAAGAGAACTTTATATATTTAAACAATGTGGGGTAAAAATTTGCAGACAAGCATTGTGTGGGTGCCTGTTAATCGCTTCATTATTCAAATCGTTAAATAAAAACAAACATTATCTTACATTTTTCTGACATTTTTATAAATTGTATCCATTTTCATAACAAATACATGTATCTCATACTATTTTATTAATAATTATATTGTTAATAAAATAAAATAAATCTTTTTGGCTACTGATGTCACCTATACAAAGAATTGTCGACAAAACTAGTGAACATTTGCATGACGTTAATTTTTACGTTAACATGGTCGTTAACAATGAACTAAAAATTATGATATTACGTAAAAAGTTATTCACAATATATATTTTTAAAACAATGTAGAAAATTGGAATTACCCTTATTGAAATTTTCGATTTCTTGTATTATGTATGAAAATGACTGTTCACATTTAAAACAAGTTAATTCAAATTTTATTTATACTTATAATAAATAAGTGATAAATAATTCATACATTTTACGTTAAAACTTTATTTATGATTATTCAAAATGAGGCAAAGCTGACGTGTATTCATTGTGAAAGTATTTGTGATTTATCAATTTTTTCGCTATTTTAAGATGATAGATTAGTAGAAACTCTCACTCGTATCAGTAAGAATCAGTCTTCTATGTCGTCTTAATTAAAAATATGTCAAATTATTTAAACACTGCTAAGTCAAATACAAATGCATGTCATGCAAGCATAAATTTTTCAGTAGAGATTTCGTTAATATTTTTAAAGATGATATCATCAACTTTTCGGTGCAGATATATAAGTATACACATTTTGATGTTTATAATGTAACATATTGTGAATATTAGGGAATATAGGTGAGCAGCTAAAAAAAAACAAAAATATTTTATAGTCAGAAAAAATTTACTTATGATTCTTTTAATGTGACGTCATCAACTTTTTAAACGGAGTAAGTCATCAAATTTAACGTTAATCGCAGAAATATTTTTGTGATTACTTGTAAAATTAAAAAAAGACAATTAGAAAAAATCAAACTTGTATATGCTGAGATTTTTTTACATCTAATACTTAGTTATCTTTCAGTTTTCAAAAAACATACTATAATAGTCTTCAAAATGTAACAAACATGTAAATTTGACTGTTGATTTAAGATATTTTGTTGCATGTACGATACGAACAAACAAATCAGTTACAGCAAATCTGTTTGAGACAATTGAAGCTATTCAATTACCGTTACATTTTTTAATAATTTGTAGAAGATTAAATTAATTTGGTTCATTGAACCGTGCAAAGGAAACAAAGCAATATGACTCTGATTGTAATTGAAGCGAAATACATAATAATAATCATATTTAATTTCAAGATATCATGATAAATTTAAACTATAACAGTTTAAACTGTGTCAATCTGAGATTCTTGCGATAATCTGTTCTAATATCTAGAAAATTGTTTATTGTTATTATTACGCTGGTCAAGAGTAACTTTAAAGTTATAGTGTCACGCGTTTTTGAGAAAAAAACGTAGAAGGGTTTTGATATAAATTATTCGATATAATCACATACTCATTTACAGCAAGAGAGGCAGAACACTAAAAACGTGCAGCACAATTGTAAAGATAATTGTTGCTATGTATTAAGTGCAAGTGTATAAGTGAAATCTAAAACGACATTATGTTTGACATAAAAATCTAAAAACAAAGATTGAACATAGCACTGCAATTATTTCCTTCCAAAGCAAACATTTATCTGTGTCCCATCTAAATTGACATAACTCATTTTACAGTTTAACAAGAAGTTGGAAATTGTTGCGCAGTGTTAAATTTTTGAAATCGTATACGACGTAAAATATTATTCGATTATTAAGTTTTTCAAATATGGTACTTTCTGTTACGAAGAACTTCGTTGACTTTGTCGCAACGCTAACGATAGATGTCAGATGTCATTTTGGGTAGTACATGCAAGTATTTATCGCCAAATTATTCAAATATAGAAACGGTTTTATATTAAACAATTTTTCTTGATGTTCTAAAATATGTTCGAAATACACATAAATATATTTTTATTGCCTTTTATGTTCCTACCTAATTAATTTTAAGCGGCTTAAAAATTAATTAATGATTAATTTAATTTAGAATGTAGAGCTACTTAAAAATTTCAGCAATTTGCTAATGTGCAGATGTGTCTCTTTGGTCATTACTGTAGCATTATATAATTTTTAGTAATTAATAGCTTTAATCATTAAAAAGATGTTGAATTTTAATCATTTAATTATAATCTGAAATCGTACTAAATTGTACCTAATGACGCTTCATGACTAAATTTGGAAATCTTGAGTCATTCTGGTAACCATAATACTGGTTTGATATTGATTACACTACTGGAAGAATCATATTTAAAATGTCGTTCATTTTGAGACGTAGTTTACTTATTCATTTAACTTCACAGTAAAAAAGACTTATACATACTATACTTTTGTTTTCATATGTGTATCTTAAAATTTATACCTATGTAATGTTAAAAGCTTATTTTTTGCCACAGACTTGTGTGAAAGTTGTTCGTGGAGCTAGTGAGCGAATGCGTTGAGACACAAACGTTTTTGTACGACCGCACTTTAATAATAAAATAATTTTGTAGAGTTGATTGTGTTGGCATACTAATAACAAAGTGTAGTGATTCATTGAGTCCTGTGGTTTTTGGTTGTCTAAATAAAGCAGACAAAGTTCTTATAAATTGCTATATTTTGCCATTTTTGACTTGATACAAGGGCTGTGAAAAAAATTTGTTAGTAGAGTAATTAGATTATTAAATACGCGTACTCTGGACTCTGTACAAAAATACATTGTTTAATAGTATTGAGTGTTTGAAAAAAATGTGTTTTTCCTGTATGATACCAAGTTTTTGTTTTCCATGCTATTAGTTCCGTTAACAATATTCCGGGTATTGTTAACATTACCACGGTTATTATTACTAACAACACTGCTAATAAGTAAATTGGACAGTAGGTATTTAAAATGTAGCGGACACAAATTTTTCTAAACTTCGTTTCATGAGTTATTGAACTAAATATTTCATAACTATTAAATAGTTAAATGATTCTTTTACTTTCAATCATGTTATTCGTAAAATTAGGGTTATAGGTATAAATAATTGTTATAAGATAAATTAAAATCAAAAGTTACGTGTAAATAATTAGTTACTTTTTAAATGGAAAAATTGTAATTTTTTCCAAGAGCACTATTAAAGAGTGAAACCCATATTGATTCGCTGTATTACTGACAATTATAAATAATTATAATTTTCTGTGCAAATTGTTAGTTTTTTCCGTGAATTTTATGTTTTCTAGATTACAAAATTTCCCATGGTTTTCCCTTCACATCATACCTCATCTAGTACGGAAAATAACATAGATCCATTATAGATTCTTTCGCTCACAGTTAACGTGAGTTTTAGATTTCAAAGATAATATTACTTGTTGAGGTATGTCAACAGTTGTAAGAAATTGTGTAAACAAAATAAAATTTCCGTTATTTCGTTTTACGACTAGGATAACTAGCTGGTAGCGTTTAATTTGCAACATTTACTTTCTTCATCTCTGGATTATGCTTGATTCAAGTTCCGAGGTTAGAAATTACACAACTAATCTCAAAGTATGCGGACTGCATTAAAAATGACAGCAGTCATTGCTCTTTTGCACCATTTTTCATTGAAAAATGTTCAAGTCGCCACAGAATTGAAACACCCATTACGTGTTTCTAGTTTATTGTTTCATCAAAGAGAAATCGCCCGAAGGGTAACTACATATTTCAACAAACAAAAGTTATAAATTGTGTTATTAATAGTGGTGCAGTTCTAGCCCATTGTTTTATGATTTATGTTACACAATGTTACAGTTGTCGCCGTTGTGGATCTATTAAATAGGTTTACAACATTAATTAATAACCGGCACTTACCGAAAGCAGTTAAACAATTTCAGGCAATTTAAGAGC